GCCATTGACATCACAAATGTCAGGAAAGGACTGGCTCAGCCAATGGCTGATAAATTAGTATTACATACTTTTTGTATTTTATTTATTGAACACTGACATTTTATATTGCTGTTGTAGTTAAACATGTATAAAATCAATAAGCCACTACAGGCAGCTCTTTACAGTGACTACACTACAGTTTAAGGTGTCTATTACCACTTCTTACACTAAAAATGACTAACACAATGGCTTATTGCTTTACACATTAATAGAAGGCTGTTGTCAAAGCATTAAAACAGAAATGAGGTAAAAGCATGTCTAAAAATGTTTAGTAATGTACCGGAGAGATCACTGGCTGTGATGGAGTTGAGCAGGTTGAGCTGTTGTTCAGTTGGAGGCTCTATCCTGCCGCTGCCGCTGGAGCACACAGAAGCAGATCCATCCACCAAACCCTCGGCCTCATCCACCAACCGGTCCATCAGATCCCTGCAGAGGCCATGAGGTGAGCAAATCAGCATTCAAAGCTCCAGAGAACTGGACTAGACTCGCTTATAAAACGCCTATCGCTTTGTATCAGGTTCACACTAGGGCTGTGCAATTAATCGAAATTCAGTTTCGATTTCGACCTCCAACGATTATGAAAATACAGTAATCGAGATAAAACGATTATTGCGCCCCATTCCGCCGGTGCTCTTTCGTTCCTCCATAATCAGTAAAATCATGTAAGGAGACTTTTGCAAAACGGGACGGACGTGCTTGATTTAAGTTGATTAGATTGATTAATGTTTTTAAAAGCGTGAAAGAACTTGCACTTCCTCGGGAAGATTACTGTGGATGCGCTCAGAGACGGAACACAACACGGACATGTAAAGTCATCTTTTAGCACCTGAACGGCATACAAAAAAATACATACAAAAATGTGTCAAAATGCGGCGCTTAGTGATTATTCACGTAAACCCTCGCCGGTTATGTAATAAATTAATGTAAAGAGTTAAGAATGAAAATACTTGTGTAACACTAAATTGGATCACTGCGGCTCTTAAAGTGACAGCGGGCTATTTTCCTGCTGCGACTGTGTGCTTAATATTAATCAAACAACAAAAGACACATTCAAAATCACTCACTGCTCTTGATGTAATAAATTAATGTAAAGAGTTAAGAATGAAAATACTTGTGTAACACTAAATTGGATCACTGCGGCTCTGTGACAGCGGGCTATTTTCCTGCTGCGACTGTGTGCTTAATATTAAACAAACAACAAAAGACAAATTCAAAATCACACACTGCTCTTGCAAGCACAGTTTGTATATTTTGTATTCTATTGTATTCCTTTGCTTTTTTTATTAGTTTAATTATTTTCAATAATTGAGGACCTTTGTTGTTGTTTTTTTAACTATTATAAATTATAACTAATATTTTGGTCATATGGCCCACTAATAATCGTTTTAAATAATCGTGATTACAATATTGACATTGACAATCGTGATTATGATTTTTGTCATAATCGAGCAGCCCTAGTTCGCACTGAACATTTTATCATCCACTCAACAGAAGATCATTACGAAACTCACGTAACGCCAGGATAACTGCTGAACTTCTTCTTCCCGAATCGGTTTTGCTGGACGAAAAAGTCGAATCGCTCGGATTTCTTCCACATGTAGTAAAACGCAACACATTCTGCCACCGTTCGTGTGTTGACCTTGAAAGAAAAGTTACATGCAACTCAATCAAATCAGGAATTATTGGTGCAAAATGATGCAAAACAATGTCTCTGCTTGCATAAAGGCTGTGAACACTGTGGAAAATCATTTAAATGACATTACAGCCTGACATTTTTTCAGTGTTAATTTTCGCCAACGACATTTTTTCACCGACGAAAACGAGACTATAATGAAATAAAAACTTGTTTTGAATGACAAAAACTATGACGAAAATCTATTGACATTTTCGTCAAAGAATAAAAACGAGACGAAAATGTTAGGGAGGGACAATTTTTACTGAATGACTTTAGTAACCCTAATAAGGATTGATCTAAATTTATTTATATAACTAAATGTCTGCTTGAAAGAATGAAGAATGTGGCAAGTTGTTATAAAGAATGAATATATAACCATTGGTATTTAATTGAAAGGAGGATCATGTTCTGGTTTCTTTATGAGAAGTGGTTTTATTTCATTTCAATATAAAGGCATGTTGTGTGTGTCACAGCAGTTAAATATGTGTCTATATTGCATGATAAAACCTTAATATCAAACCTATATAATGAGTTTGGAAAATTTTTGAGAAATGCTTAATAAATGCATTACACTAACTAAACCCATTAGATTTTAGCCTACTGCAGATTTAGTCGACTAAAACAATTCAGATTACTAAAATATGACAAAATAATGCCATTTTAGTCAAAAGACTATGACAAGATTTGCCATCAAAATGAACACTGCATTTTTTAAACCGATCAAATCCCAATGGAAAAAATAAAGACCCACCCTACATCATTTTCCATAGAACATTCATCATAATCATGAAAATTCATACGTTTCACTTAGAAAAGCATGTATACAATATGTTAATAGAATTTCATGTATTTAACTTGAGTGACATCTGATTTATGTAAATACTGACTCAAAACTGCATTTAAATATCTAAGACAACCGTTCAAAAATGCAGGAGAAAAGACGCCGTCTTACTTTGTGTTTCTGAACGAGGTGGAAGTTCTTCTCGTACAACAGAAGAGCATGTTCAAAATGTCTGCATTCTTCTTCAGACCACGGGAGCATCTCGTCTAAATAATTGCATTTATATTAGTTTCTTTTTCAACACTTATTTCAACAACTCCGCTATAACAAAATAACGGCAATATTTCCACTCACCCTTTGAGGATTTGTCTTTGCTGCGATACCGTTTAAGAGCTTCGTGGACGTTGTAGTTACACTTCAAAAGCTCATATAAGGCCTGGAGAAAACAAACAGGTTAGTTAACCCTATAAAAGCTTACTGCAAATTTCCTAAGGCCTCTAAATGATCCACATGATCAAAACTTTGCTGTTAAACCTGTTTCACACAATCTACTCCATGCCTTCTGTCGTCTGATTGATAGTTTAGACTTTTTTATCATCAAGTAAAAGCTCTTTTAGTGTAATTGTGCAAACGTCCAGCTTCAGCTCGAGCTTCACGTGTCACGCGGTCAAATCTTGACTGATTTTATCAAGTAAACATATGAATAACTCATATGTTAAAACTGAATAACTCTTATGTCATATGTTAGTAATATTTCAAGATGAACACTTCGCGTTACTTGATTCTCTGAAAAATCAGTGAGTCTCAAATCTGATCATCAGGATCTTTTGAGGAACATTTGTTTGTTCATCTCTCAATCATCATTGGACTGCACTGCATTATATGATTTGATCATTTAAATCTTACTTCAGGGTTTCCGCAGGTATCAGCAAATCTAATTGAATGGCTTTTTAATGCCATTTTTACATTTTGTAATGCCATACATGACCCATTTATATCACACACACACACTAGCGGTCAAAGGTTTTCAATGTTTTCAAAACAAGTCTCTTCTGCTCACCAAGGCTGCAGTAATAGTAATATTGAGAAACATTATTTCAATTTAACATAACGGTTTTCTTTTTGAATATATAGTAATTTGTCATTTATTCCTGTGATCAAAGCTGAATTTTCAGCATCATTACTCCAGTCTTCAGTGTCACATGATCTTCAGAAATCATTCTAATATGCTGATTTGATGCTCTGTAATGATCAATTATTATTGGTGCTCAATTATTAATAATGGTTCTTATTGTTATCAGTATTATTTTTTCTGCTTCATATTTTTGTGAAAACCATGATACATTTTATTTTTCAGGATTCATTGATGAATAGACAGTTCAAAAGAACAGCATTTCTTTGAAATAGAATCTTTTGAAACATTATAAATGTTTATCTGGCACTTTTGATCAATTTAATTTGCCCTTGTTGAATAAAAGTTTTTATTATCCACATAAAAAATATGATGACCGGAGTAATGATGCTGAAAATTCAGCTTTGATCACAGGAATAAATTATATTTAAACTATATTCACATAAAAAAAAAGTTACTATTAATTTAAATAATATTTCACAATATTACTGTTTGTACTGTATTTTTGATCAAATAACTGCAGCCATGGTGAGCTATGGAAGCTCTGGAAGTCGTCAGCAGCGCTGCACAGGACTTGCTCGAGAAGGATTTGACATTTTGTTTTTAGACCACGAAATCAACAGTGTCACCAAAGAAGTGTGTTTTTGGTTGTGAGGGAAAGATAACCTCGTTCAGCTTCCCAAATAACCCAGCGTTACGTGAACAGTAGAAGCAGTTTGTTTCTCCGGAGTTGTGCAAGTGTGTTTGTTTGTTCCCGGCATTTCGGTGACGAATGTTTTATAAACAAATTAAATAAAATTGAAGTCAATAAAGTTTTTGTTCCCGTTATTTATATCGATGTCACAGCTTGCAGACGATCGCTATGCAAAAGCTTTGCTTGCTCGTGACAGAAAGCTGTATGTGTCTTTTAGAAATCTGATGAAACTAAAGACTCTTCGGAGATATGAAGGATGCAATACTACTCTATAGGTACTCAAGAGTAACATGAGATTGGCAGAAACTGTGTTATGTCCCCTTTAAAAAAAAATCTGACCATTGTTGTCAGGCTTTACAGGGTTAAGTGTTACTGATAACAGCGCTATGAGTGCCGAAGTGTTCAAATCTATTTAGTGGACATAATTAACAGCCCCTCAAGTGTAACGAATGTGTTTGGTTTGTGTAAAACTACTGATCTATGATCTTCACCTGCTCGTTGTCTTTGACCAGAGAACATTTGCCATCTCCATCCATCTTTCCGTCCACAGCATCCTGCAAGAAGCTTTTGACTTTTGACTCGGGCAACATGTCCGGCTGCCAAAGCAGCTGATCTTCCTCTGTGTACACTGAAAAACACATAACAGGAACATCTATCACAATCTAATACATCTCCAAACACACTGCATTAAAACTGTGCAGATGGTGAAAAATAATTTAAGTGCCATCAGGTTTCAACCAATCAAATCCCAATGAATAAACCCAAGCCTACATTATTTTGCACAGAATATTCTGTTTCACTAACAAATACATTTATACAATATGTCAAAGGCATTTCATGTTGTATTTAACACAGGTGACACCTAACTTATGTAAATATTGACTCAAATCTGCACTTACTCCATTTAAATATGAAAGACTTACCTTTTTCCTGTTCATTATAACAGGTAAGAGCAGGAATTTCTGCCTGATATTCAGATCCCACCATGATTTCCTGTGAAAACACAAATTAATAAAATATACACTGATCTTCAGCAGGTTTACAACTTTGTCCGACACACATAAATGATAGGAAACAACGCCATTTGAACTCAAACTTTGAATATGACAGTAAATAATCTAATATTTCTTACTGTAGAGTACAATGACAAAGTCTATAGAAAAAGTGATTTTCCTCACCTTGCGAGAGTCTTCAGGACTCAAACCATCATCCTCACCCTCAGATTCTTTGTCTCCATCGTAAACCACATTTGCTGGAAAACAAACAACAAAATTGAGCGCTACAGAAAATCAGATACTCGAATGGAAACTGGAGCATAACCTGCACTTTCATAAGCGATGTCAAATGTACACAAACAATGTCTATGTGCTTACAGCGAAGAGTTCTGGGGAAGAAATCATTGGTTTCGTGTGACGTCACAGACGGTGTGAGATCATCGGCAGAAGATTGTGTTTCTTCATCGTCTCCAGAGAGCAGATCTTTAGCGATTTCCTCCTGTTACGAGAAAAGAGGACATGTAACAATGTCAATAACAGTAATGGCTCAACACATCACAAAACTCACGGTTCGGATCATATCACGGTTTTTGAGTCACGGATCGGATCATTATACGGATCAACAACAACAACAAAAATCTATATAACTCTGCTTTCCATTTATTACTTGAAGCTAAGTACTCCTACAAGGTACAAGACAAGGTAACAGCCAATAAAAAATAGGGCAAATACACTAATTACAAGCATAGATAAATACAAGAGACCAAAGTAACCATTAAAATAAGATCAGTAGTATTCAGGTACAGAAATGTAATAATTAAGTGTAAAATAACACTGCATAGTGTTCACTGTATACATTAAATATAGACTGATCTTTGTCAAAGCTGTGTTTTGTTGTTTGTAAAGACAGCAGCAGGTATTTATAGGCTGCTGTACCTTTAAGACCTGATGCACGGATCCTATATAATGATGCACATCCGATTTCTTTCTCAGCTGTTTTCGTTCACTTATGACATAACCGACTGCGTTTACCAGAATCATTGTCAAGACGGGTATTTTGTCATAATTTTATGTGTATGTGTCTGTTCAAACGCAAGGAGATGCAAAAGAGGATTCAGTTCGGTTTAAAATCACTTGAGTGCATAAATGCATACATATTGACAAACTTTCACTCTATTATGGTTCATTTTTGCAATTAATCCGCAGATCAAATGCGTGCCGGACCGTGAGGCCTGGTCTGTACGGATCACGGATCAATTACGATCCGTTCAATCCCCAATGAACAGCAAAAATGTATATATACAAACAAAACTGGTAAACAGTTTGGAATAATCATGTTTTCTTTGAAAGAATGTGCTGATTTGCTGCTCCAGAAACATTTCTGATTATTATCCATGCTCAAAACAGTTGTGCTGCTGCTTCATATTTTTGTGGAAACTGTGATACATTACCATTCAAAAGTTTGGGGTACTTTTTTTTTGTTTTAAATTAAACACTTTTATTGAGCAAGGATGCATTAAATACGTCAAAAGTGACCATAAAGACATTCATAATGTTAATACAGATTTCTATTTTTCTATTCCCCCCTTCTATGTAAAGCGCTTTGAGTGCCCAGAAAAGCGCTATATAAATGTAAGGAATTATTATTATTATTATTATTATTCTTCATCTAAGAATCCTGAAAAATAAAACGTATCAGTTTCCACAAAAATATTCGGCAGCACAACCGTTTTCACAATATATGTGGCCCTGGAGCACAAAAGCATTCTTAAGTCGCTGGGGTATATTTGTAGCAATACCCAAAAATACATTGTATGGGTCAAAATTATAGATTTTTCTTTTATGCCAAAAATCATTAGGATATTAAGTAAAGATCATGTTCCATGAAGATATTTTGTAAATTTCCTACTGTAAATATATCAAAACTTAATTTTTGATTAGTAATATGCATTGCTGAGAACTTCATTTGGACAACTTTAAAGACGATTTCCTCAATATTTAGATTTTTTTGCACCCTCAGATTCCAGATTTTCAAATAGTTGTATCTCGGCCAAATATTGTCCTATCCTAACAAACCATACATCAATGGAAAGCTTATTTATTCAGCTTTCATATGATGTATAAACCTCAACTGAGAGAAATTGACCCTTATGACTGGTTTTGTGGTCCAGGGTCACATATTCCATTAGAAAACAGTTATTTTAAATAAGAAATAATAATAATTTACAATATTACTCATTTTACTGTATTTGATCAAATAAATGCAGCCTTGGTGAGCAAAAGAGACTTCTTTAAAAACAAATCTTGAGATCTCATTACAACTACTCTACTCTAGTGACTTACTTTATCTAACGTCATGTCGGGCAGCTCATCGGTCAGCTCTACAGACGAGCTGTCCGCACTAGAGCCTCCGACAGCGCTGTCTGCAGCTTCATATCTGTATAATGCCAGCAGCTCTTCCAACGGCATGCTCCCCTCCTGTGACACAGAACTTTAATTCAACACTTAATCACTGCAAACAAGTCAGCAAACTACAGATGAAGAATATGTGTGTGATTACATCAGTGCTGGATAATATTAACTGATATTCATACGGTGATAATATACACAAGTTTTGTTTTTACAATGTCAGCCTGGTCAAATTTGTAATCAGCCACAATATAAAAATAAAATAGAAACCTTCTCCAGATCAGCGATTTCCGAGCTCCCGCTTGACCCGCCCTCCCTCATCTCCTCTTCCTCTAACGTATGCTCATCATCGAAATCATGCACCAGCATTTCTGCTGTCGGGTCAAAATCGTGATCTTCCGATGACAAAGAGCCAACTAAAGAGATCAAATCAAATCAAAAAATATTTAATCTTATATAATTTTGATAATTAATTATATGCATTAT